AGCAGCTGCAGCTGTTGATTTTAAAAACGGGTTCGGTACGCAATTCAACGGCCTCATGCAGCCATTTACTGATACGGACTCGTTGTACAGCACAGCATACACGTCGTACAACAATTGGGCGACAAAAGTGAGTTTTATTTAAACGAATTAGTTATATTTAATTATTTATTTGTTAGGAATTTTAATTTTAAATTTAATTAAAAATCAAACGTTGTAGTGTTTATTTTTATAGAAATATTATTCGGTTTTATTCTGTAGGTACCTAGTCCATTGGGATCGAAAACATTCCCTTGGTCTGTGAACCCTTTGGGTTCGGTAAATCATCACCATCATCAAGCTCCGGTAAACTGTTTTAATGCAGCTACGTCAGCAGCCGGCTCTATGTTATCTTCTCCAGCCCCCCAAAATGGACCTCCATATTGTCCACCTACAGCACCATACTCTGTGTACCATCATAGGCCTGCTGAACCCTGTAATGTCATGTCTAGTAGCATTGCCAGTCTTCGACTCAAAGCCAAACAGCATGCCTCTGGTTTTGGGGGATACCAACCGGTTGGGTCGCCGGGCTCCCTTGGCGGACCAAATGGCAATTCTATAAACGGAGGTAACAATCGATCATCGTCATCGTCATGTCAATACGGTAGTACGAACGGAGCAGGCGGAACCGGCGCGGGCGGTGGTAGTGGAGGTGGCGGAGGCGGTAATTCTGGTAGTGAAGGTACAAGGACACCTGTCTGACGTGAAGAGCGCACCGGAGGAAGCGTCCGGTATACGGTCGAGGACCTATTAGATTTCAAAGAAGAAATGGATGGTGCAGACGAAGACGACGAAGAAGAAGAAGAGGAAGATGACAGAGGCATGAACAATCAGCATCACCATCACCATCAGCTGGACAGTGGTGTTAAACACGATTTGATGCAAATGCAAACGGCTACTGCAGTTGCAATGCTCTAATCTTCCAATTCCTACACGGTACATACAAATTTTAATTTTTCTCAACTCCTAGTGAATCTTTGCGACTGCTTCTTCATAAATTTTCAGTTTCTATAATATCATTTAATGTAAATAAAATTATAATTAGGTAACTCTAGACTTTTTTCGATGTATGCATAATTTTCCAATGTAAATATGATATTGAAAATAATTAGTAAAAATAATCAAATAATTGATTATATATAATGTACAGTGTATACGATATATTGTTTTGTTTTAAATACCTGCTAAGTATGGCAATAAAGGAAATCATCCATCTAGTCCAGTTTAAATTTATCACATAGAATTAGATTTAAAATATGTTTTTTTCGTAAGATGTGTAAATATATACAAATTTTGAGGGGTATAATGTATTTCAATTTTTATGAGTAAAATGTATAGAAAATTATACGATTAAACGCTAAATTTAAATCCAAACAGAACTAAAAAATATTGCTTAAATTGTATTACAAAAAATAAAAATATTCGGCCATCCATTGTATCCATATAAAAAAAAAATGTTTCATTGGTATCAGTTGAAATGTTTATTAATATTTTAATTAGTAAAAAATACACTGGAAAGTGCCTGTCAATATTGTTTAACATGATTTCTACTAAACATTAATATGTAATTTTTGTACATTTTGCAAACAATAAAATCTGTACTAAATTGACAGTATAGTTGATTTGTATTATAATCATGTAGTTATGTGAATGTTTAACTTTTTTTTTTTTGTTCGAGGTTTTATTGTAATGTCATGAGTGTTAAAATACATACATTTTTAAAACATAAACAGTATTAAATTTATTTTAGACAGGCAAAGTGGTATTGTTATAAATTTCGCTATATTATGTAACTGACAAGAAAACAATATCCATACAATACTTTTTTCTTGTGTAGACATTATGGCGTACTCCTTTTATCCGTTTAAAGCTATTAGAGAAAATTGATTTTCATTGCTATTGCATAACAGCACATTGGTGTGGATCTAATGCTATGCCAACTTAATAATAAATTCATATTATAATATTTTCCTGATTCGTTGAATTGGTTATTGTTTCACTATTACTATAATAAAAAAAAAAAAATAGTTTACAAATGGCGATAAAAAACGCAGATTGAACCATTCAATATATTATTAAAGAAGCCATATTGCACGTATCTTTTGTTCACAAAAGTAAATAAAAGAATAAAATTGGGTAGGGGCTTTACGCATGATTTTATAGTTTTGAAAAATTTTAAATAATAAATATTTTAGATATTATTTAAAGAGATATACAATAAAAAAATATCATTTGAATAGATAATACATTTAATTTTTATTACATGATATTTTTTTAAAATTTAATACTTCGGATAATGCCATATCAACATAGTTATTTAAAAAAAATTTTCAATGCACATTATCAAAGCAATAGTAGTATAAAATTAAGTAAAATAAAATTTATTGTTACTCTTTGTAATATTGATATTACATAGTATTCTATGTATATATAGTAAAATATGACGACGCTCATTTAATAAACGGCCCACGGGTCTCTACCATCAAAACCAGTGTCGACCACATTTTTGCTACGTAAGTCGTATCAAATATAATATATTTTAATAATATTTGAAAAAATACGAGTTGTGTTCAGAAAATAACGTGAATTTTCGTTTTTTGAAAAAAATATTTGTTTATTCGTCTACATTAATGTTGCCGCCTTAAAAAGAGTACCCATTATATATACACTTGTGCTAACGCTTCTTCCAATCTTCGAAACATTTCCCAAACTCGATCTTTGGGATAACCTTCAGTTTATTTGGTGATGCGCTTTTAATGTCATCTTTTAATGCCGCTTGTAAAACAACGGACCTTAAGGTTCTCTTTTTTATTGGAAATAGAAAAAAGTCACATCGTTACAGTATTGTTTTTTGACAAAAATTCACGAATAAGCAATGAAGTGTATGCAGGTGCTTTATCGTGGTACAAAAACCATGAATTGTTTTCCCACAAATACGTGCATTTTTCGGATTGCTTCATGCAAATGATGTTGAACTTGTAGGTAGTACTCTTTATTGACCGTTTGATCTCTTGCCAAGAATTCATGATGCACAATGCCATTAAAATTAAAGAACACTGTCAGCATAACCTTCACCTTTGATCGCACTTGTCAAGCCTTTTTCGGTCTTAGCAATCCAAAATGCTTCTTCTGAAACGATTGAGCCTTAGTTTCGACGTCGTATCCATAAACCAAAGTTTCGTTACCTGTTATAACACGTTTCATCAATTCTGCATCGTCATTGATTTCATTAAGTGACTCCTGAAAAACATCCGTTCGCCGTTATTTTTGTTCAAAATTCAATAATTTTGGAACAAATTATCCTGTGCAATGTTTCTCATTGCAAAAAGTTTTAAAAAATTTCATGGCATTGCCAATTGATATTCCAACATCATCAGTGATTTCTCTGATTGTGATTCAGCGATCGTTTTTTTTTGGTAGAGGACGCCTTTAGCAGAGGCCTAGTGAACCAGTTGTCACAAACACTGTTGATTATATTATATCGTGTGACATCTGATGTCTTGAGTCTTTGCTTTACTCATCACCTTTGCCCACCCAGCACTGCAAATCGGTGACCTACGTGTCAATTGTCATCCGTGTACAGTTCATCATCGTACGTCAGTGAGTCAATATTTTTATGCGTCATCTTTTTTTGTAGCATCTCCGTTTGGATGGTCAATTGTTCGGCCATCGTATGTCATAATTTTTATTATTTGTTCGTTGTACCCTTGTGCTTAAAGTTCTCGTGCCCTTGCACACCTCCAGTGATTGGGCCCTGACCATCAATAAATAACTTCACTGCCGTAGTGGCTTTTTTGCCGTCTGTTTTCATCCACCATTACGTACCTGCATCTACACTGTGACTCATGATACTTAGATGTTCGACACCATTACCACAAGATCTCATACAGTCCACTCACCACTATCAACAACTTTATTTAATCAGTTGAGTTTTGTACTATTTTTTAATGTTATTTATTATTTTGTTTTAAATGATTTTAACTATTTGTTTTATGTTGCTTCGTCAGCCATTAGTATTTAAGGCCCCCGCTTCCCCTTAAATTTTCTCTACCAAACACGTTTATAACCATTTCTTTCACTTTATCCATTTATTCATCAGTTAATGATGTGCTAGTTCGTCTGTCATATTCAACGTCTTCACGGCCAACTCGAAAACGCTTATACGAGTCGTAAACCCTTGTTTTACTCGTGGCAGACACACCATAAGCTTTTGTTAAAATTTCACACACTTTATTGCACTATATTTTCATTTCATTTTTTAAGAAAAATTTGATACAAATCCTATAATACATTTTTTTTTTTACAAACAAAAATCGCTGAAGTCATAAAAACACGTCTAATTTTAGCGACTTCCACTGACAAAGTAAAAAATGAATCCAGCTAAAAATTGAATTATACTTCAGGGACATATGTACAAACATTTTGAAAAAAAATTTTGATAATCAGACTCTCCAGAATTCTTCTTAATTTCTAAGCACACGCCGTACATAGCAGTTTATTTTTAATTGTATTTTTGCATTCATGCTGAAAAATATAAATTAAACAAAAATATGTTAAGCCAATCAATATCATACTTCATGCAACTTTATAAACAACGTAATGTAACACTATATTAACGTTTATATTGTTGTCATTAAAAATTAAAAGATAATACCTTATAATTCAAAGGGATAATAAAAAATAAACAAATAACTCATAAATTAAAAAGTGTATAGAATGATCAATTATATTTTGATATCTTAAATTATTTTTGATCCAGTGAATATATTTCTTAAATTTTTTTAAAAATAATTTTTACAATTTTAAATTACAATAAAAGCATTTATTTTTAATTGTTTGTCTCTAAAAAGAGAAGAATAAAATTTATTTTTTCAATATTTTAAAATAGCTATTTTTTTAGATCTTTTCAACTTATTGAGTTACAAACATTTTAATACATCTAATTGTTATGTATTGCGGCGGATACATCTCTTATAATGTATATTTATCATCCATGCTATGCATTCTCAACCCATCAGAAATTATTTTTAAGATAGAACTACAAAATGGCTATTTATAAATATCGAAAAAATTAAAAAAAAATTGTCTACTTAGTAATAAATAATTAAGAATATGATTTATTAATATACACTGCATTGTACAAAGTTACATAACTTTTTAATTTTGCTTTATTTATTACTAAGTCTGTTCAAAAAAGTTCTCATCAAATAAATATGCGTGTTTTATGGTATCCCATAAAATGATAAATTGAATATGTCTGTATAAATTATAAATTTTTTTTTTTTTAATTACTTACTTGGTCCTTAAACTTTTTTCTAATTAATATGTCTTATACATCATATTATGGACGAAATAAAAAATACTTCAAGGAAAAATAATATTTACTTTGCAGTATATAATAAATCTATGGATATACACCAGAAGCTGATATGTTAATTTTAAAATTTATCAAGAGTACCAAAGCAAAATTTTAGTTGTGTCTTAAGGAAATTGATATTTTTAAAGTGTGAAAAACAAATGTTCCCTATAAAAATGACTCGTGATTTTTTGGTAATGACACATAACATTTTAAAATAAAATTATAAAATAATATCAATAAACCGAATTTGTGATATATCAGCTTTTGGGTATGATCCATAGATATAAATTATAATTAATAAAATTTTGATAAATTATTACTTTAAATCATTTTTTTAAATAGTTGTTAGTAAATTAATTGCACATAATTTTCTGATAATAAATATATTATGTCCAATAATACAACTTCAAAAAAAAAGAAATGTATAATGGTTCCATTATAAATGTTTATTTTACTTTGGAAATAACGAAACATAATTCGTTATTGTTACACAGTATATGGCTCTCATACACTATTTAACAGACTATAATGTTTTATGCAAAACCATAAAAGAGTAATTATTAATATTGAGTTCATTCATTCATTACAGGGTCTGTTGGGTCGTTAATAATGAACTAATGGTGACGCGTCGTTTTGTTTAACACCCTCCGCATTAATATATAGAAATACACAAAATCCCTTTTTTAAATCTTTTAACATATTTTCATTATATTGGTTATTTATTTAATGTATCCGATTTCAATTAGGCCAAACCATTAAAACGATGGCAGTAGTGACTTAATAATTAGTGGCTGGGTTATTATTTTATTTTATATCAATGTGTTTTTTATTCAAAGGGATTGAAATCGATTAACTAAATGAAAAAAAGGGGAAGGAGAATGGATGAAATAGTGCCAGGAGCCAAAGTGTAGTGCGTTCGTATAACCTGGGCAGAGAGAAAAAACAGCTTTTGCAATAAGCGAAGGTCTTATAGGTACCTAGAGGATTAAGTATAAGCCTGTATAGTCCCACAGAATGGTCGTCGTTCGTTTTAAGTAAATTCGCTCACACGGCACTATATACCCCCACAACACTTTACCAAGAGATTTTTATACTATTATTGTTATTGCAACCATCATTGTTGTCAACGTTTGTTCACTTGACAACCTGTTATTTATCTTTCATAGTTCATAGATAATTTACGAATAGTTTAAAAATATTAAAACTTGTTACAAATAAATTTAGCTAAATAAATAATGAAAAAAAATATACTAATATTTAGATTTAGGGTAGTGTAATTTAGGCACAATTTCAATATTTCCCTAGAAAAGTTTTAAAATATTTACAATTGAAGTATTTACATATTTTGAGTATGTCAAAATTTTTGGAAAGGATGAGTTTTAGCCCCTCTGAGTTCTCCTCCCAATTTATCCCCCTATGAATATACTTAATGTCATCTTTGAATAAAAAATTATACTTTGAATGCTGAAATCTTAAAAAGACGTTGTTTTATTTAACAGCAAATCTATTTTTTTTTAATATCAATAACGTG